GATGGATGGATGGATGGATGGATGGATGGATGGATGGATGGATGGATAGATGGATGGATGGATGGATGGATGGATTGAGTGAGTGAGTGATGGATTGATTGATTGATTGATTGTCCGACAACCAAGAACTGAAGCCTTCAGGTGCTTCAAACGGTGCCATGAGACTGGAGCAGGAGCAACAATGACTGAATCAGCAAAGAAGAGTTCAGCTCAGAACCGTGAAGTGAGAGGAGGGAGGAGAGAGGAGGGAGGTTTAGGACACCTGACAGAATCAGAGCTGCTGCACACACAACCTGCTGTTCTTCTCCAAAACAGTAATTTTATTAAGTGTCTACAAATGTAGGTAAATGTTGATGTATAACAACCCGTTAAAATACACCAAAATGCAGGAAATGGCATCTCTGTTATTCAAAATTTTCTGTGAGCGGCATCAGTCAGTTTACAAATTAAGCCCTGCAACTCCCCCTCTTGAGCGTTTCTGATATACAATCCACCAGCAGTCACATGTCGAAGTGTCTCTGGGCAAGACACTGAACCCCTCATTGCCTCTGATGTGTGTCCCATCAGTGTATGAATGTGGTAAAGCTCTGATTAGTCTCTTTAGAATGATTTGTTCAATTAGCTTTGTATAGATCTAGTAGAGTGCTGTATGAATGGGTAAATGAGGACACAGATTGTAAAGAGCTTTGAGTATCTTGATCAGATAAAAAGGTGCTATATAAGTGCAGTCCATTTACCATACCACTCCTCCTATATGCCCATTCTCTTCACCTCGGTGAAGCAGAGTAGGGGTGTGTGTCATAATCTGTCCTTTTTGTCTGTTTTCTTTCCTAATCCTTGTTTGTGACTGTTCCTTGTGTGTGTCTCCCTCTTGTGGTCTGTCCCAGCTATTGCTCCCTCGTGTAATTAGCTTCTGCCACCACCTGTTGTTTCTCCCAGCTGTTTGTCATCAGTCTGTCATCAGTGTATGTATATAAGTCTGCTTCTCCTGTTTCTAGTTTCTCCTCATGGTTCATGTAAGTTGTTGCTGCCACGTCAGTCCTTTTGTTTATTTTTATTAAATCATTTTTACTTTTAAACCTGAGTCCTCTCTGCATTTTGGCTTCAACCACCACCAGGTCGTTACAGGTGTGTATGTGTCTGCGTTTGGGGAGGAAACCATGCGGGGGAAATTAATTTTAAAAGGAACGGCTTTAAATTGTCTTTCACTCAGTCCCCGTCGTTGGTTTTAAAGAGACGTTAAAGTATTTGGATCATTTGTGATCTCGAATATGCACAAAAGCTTTTCCCACGTTTACGGCTGTTCATTTTGAGGTGGTGCAGCTTTCCAACAATTTCTGGTAATTAATAATTGTAGGCACTACAGCTTTTCTAGAATTTGTGGTCATTCAGTTTAGGTGGAGCAGCTGTTCTATAGTTGAGGACATTTTATTTTAAGCATCACTGTTTTTCTATCATTTACAGTATTATTTTACGTATAGTATCTTCTTTCAGCTGCTCCCTTCCTCAGGGGGTCGCCACAGTGAACTAATTCGCATGAAGACTTTTAATGGTCATTTGATAATAGTCTTTAGGCAGATGATCATTTTGTCCTTTTTGTTTAACCTCGTTCAGATCCAACAGAATTCGGTCATTCTGGCTTTACGTAGACAGACACTGCTGGGTGATAATGACCAAGCTGAGAACTACTAATTGAAAATCAGTCGCCCGGTGAGCACAGCACTGGCACGCCACCGAGGTGTTAAAATCTCAGGGTGTTAGACAAAAATAATACTTCACAGGTGGAGAAGAGAATCTGCAGCTCAGAGGTCAGAACGACGTGATGACGCGTTGTTGGGAACACAAAAAGTCAAGAGTTTCACAGAATTGGATACAGTGGCTTTTGAAAGATACAAGTCTGGAAGATTCTGTTCATAACTTTTATGGGCAGAATATCTCGATGCAGGGCAGCACGGTGGCGCAACTGGTAGAGCTGCTGCCTCTCAGCGAGCAGGTGCCTGGTTCAAACCCCGGTCCAGGGGCCCTCTGGATGGAGTTTGCATGTTCTCTCCGTGCATGTGTGGGTTTTCTCCGGGTACTCCGGTTTCCTCCCACAGACCAAAAACATGCATGTTAGGCTGATTGGTAACTCTAAATTGTCCCTAGGTGTGAGTGAGAGAGTGAATGGTTGTTTGTCTCGTTTGTCTCTATGTGGCCCTGTGATGGACTTGCGACCTGTCCAGGGTGTACCCCGCCCCTCGCACAGTGATTGCTGGACATGGGCACCAGCGACCCCCCGTGACCCAAAATGGAATAAGCGGGTAAAGATAATGGATGGATGGATGGATATTTCGATGCAGCCAGGGGGCAGAGGGAGTTCGGTTAGGTGGCCTCAAAATTTCGTCTCTGCTCTTTGCAGATGATGTGGTCCTGCTGGCGTCATCGTGCTGAGATCTTC